CCTCACGAACTTCCCCACACTCACAACTGGCTCTTCCTCACTCCTACAAGATGTTATTCCTCCTTGCTCTATACACGAAATCACAGCTTCCCTATCTTCATCAACATTTAACAATTCCTCAAAATATTCCCTCCATCTTCCCAATACCTCTAACTCTCCATTTAATAACTCTCCTCTCCTATTTTTAACTGACAAATCCATTTGATCTCTAGGCTTCCTTAACTTGTTAATCTCACTCCAAAACTTTTTCTTATTTTCAACAAAGTTTGTTGATAACATCTCACCCACTCTCTCATTTGCTCTCTTTTTATATTGCTTCACCACTCTCTTAACCTCTCTCTTTTTCTCCATATACTCTTCCCTCCTTGCATCACTTCTACTTTGTAAAAACTTATCATGTGCTAACTTTTTCTCCCTTACTACTCTCTTTACATTATCATTCCACCAATCGCTCCTCTTCCCTCCCGCACCCACTTTCCTGTTTACCTGGAGTTTACCTGGAGAGAGTTCCGGGGGTCAACGCCCCCGCGGCCCGGTCTGTGACCAGGCCTCCAGGCCTGTAACACAAACTTCTGCTGAACACTCTAACACTACATTTTTAAACCTACCCCATACCTCTTCGACCCCATTACCTATGCTCTTATTAGCCCATCTATCCTCCAATAGCTGTTTATATCTTACCCTAACTGCCTCCTCTTTTAGTTTATAAACCTTCACCTCTCTCTTCCCTGATGCTTCTATTCTCCTTGTATCCCATCTACCTTTTACTGTCAGTGTAGCTACAACTAGAAAGAGATCTGATATATCTGTGGCCCCTCTATAAACATGTACATCCTGAAGTCTACTCAACAGTCTTTTATCTACCAATACGACTTGTCCCCTGTTTTAAAAATAGGAATTACATTAGCCATCTTCCACATATCAGACACTACACCTGTTTGAAGAGATAAATTAAAAATATTAGTTAATGGTTCACAGAGTTCCATTTTGCATTCCTTAAGAACACTTGAAAAATCCTCATCAGGACCCGGCGACTTATTTTGCTTCAGTCTGTCTGTCTGCTTCACAACCATCTCACTAGTGACTGTGATGTTACATAATTTATCTTCTTCTAGCCCACTATAAAAATTAATTACTGGAATACTGTTAGTGTCTTCCTGTGTAAAAACCGAGAGAAAATAATTATTTAAAATCGAGCACATTTCATTCTCTTTGTCAGTAAGATGCCCATAGTTATTTTTAAGGGGACCTATCTTATCTCTAACTTTTGTAGCACTGAACCTCATGAAGGAAATTCTTCATGCCTGTGTAGTCCCCCCTACTTTGTATACGAAGCTCAGAACCACGTAGTCACTGGCCCCGAGGGGTCTTTCGTAGGTGATATCCTCAATATCTGCACTACTCATGATGACTACTAGGTCCAGTCACCTCTCCTCGCTGGTAGTGTCCTATACGTGTTGGTACACGAAGTTTCCCAGTACCATCTGTATTACGAACACAGGTAATAGAATGGCCTGACGAGGTCACAGTTTGAAGTTATAAAACATAAATCAAAGGGATGTTAGGAAATACTTCTTTAGCTATAGAGAAATCAGGAAGTGGAATGACCTAGACAGCGAAGTGGTATAGGTAGAATCCATACATCGCTTTAAGAACATGTATGATAGAGCTCATGCAGCCAGGAGAGTGTGAAACCATTATCGTCAAGCAAAGAGGCGGGACCAGGAGCTGAGACTCGACTTATGCAACCACAATTAGGTGAGTACAGTAAAGAGCGTAGTAGTAACATCGCTAACGCCACCACTCACACCATCAATAGCAAAACAACTATCACCATAAATAACACAACTACTAACATCACCATTAACACCACCACTAACACCAGTACTTACTCCACTTCTGGTAGCACAGCTAACACCAACTCTATAACCTCTAGTGACACCACCAGTAACACCACCTCTAAGACAACAACTAACACCATTAACACCGCAACTAACACCGCTCACAAAGTAAGGAATATTAATCAGCCTAGAAGTGAAACTATCACTAGCAACACCACTACTAACACCAGTATTAACTACACTAACAGTAACTACACCAGTATTAACTACACCAGTATTAACTACACTACATTAACTACACCAGTATTAACTACACTAACACCACTACTAACACCAGTATTAACATTACTACTATTTCCATTATCAAACACTAGCACCAAAACTAATATCACCAATATCATCATTAATAACCACTAACATCATTATTAAGCACCACACTACTAACACAATTAACACTTTCAATAGCATGAACGTTAACATCACAGCTAGCACCACCACAGTTACCTGAACTAGCACCGCCACAAACACCACAACAACTGCAACCACTAGTATAATCACTGTCACTACCACTAACATCAACATATTCATCTCTACTAGCACCAACGCGAGCACCCCTACAAGCACAGCTGCAGGCACCATCACAAACACCACCAAAAACACAGCCGAAGGCACCACCACAAGCACCACCAATAACATTTTGGCACAAAGAGAGAGCATACAGTCAATAACAAGGAACATCAGTAGCACCACTACTAACACCACAACAGGCATCATTATTAGCTTCACCACAAGCTTCACCACAAGCTTCACCACAAGCTTCACCACAAGCTTCACCACAAGTTTCACCACAAGCTTCACTACATGCTTCACCACAAATTTCACCACAGTCACCACCGCAAGCTCCACCACAAGCACCACCATAAGATCCACCACAAGCTCCACCGCAAGCACCACAACAAGCTCCACCAGAAGCCCCACCACAAGCTCCACCACAAGCACCACCACCAGCTACACCGAAAGAACCACCACAAGCACCACTACAAGCACCACCACAAGCTTAACCACAAGCACTACCACAAGATCCACCACAAGCAACACCACAAGCACCACTATTAGCTGAAGAGTAAGATACATGTACAACAGTTGAATACCTTTATTTTCGATTGAAAAGTTTTCTCCTACGAAATCAGACTTGAGCGAGATAGAGAGGCAGTATCAGTAGCCCGTCCATCAACCTCGCTGAAACAGTGTTTGAGGTGGTGAGTCCTTCAGGCTAGAGAATAGTTCATCTCCATAGTCTGTTCAGATCAGTTGTTCCAGACTATGGAGCTGAACACTTCTCCAGGCAGAGGGACTGATCTCCTCAAAAACTGTAGCACGCATATGTGTCTTACCATTCTCATCGTACCATCATAAGCATCTCCACTAATAGCGTCACAAGCCCACTCACTAGCACCTCCACTAGTACCACAACTAGTACCACCACGACAAGCAGCACAACTATCCCAAGCAATCGCTGTCACACAAAGAAAGTTTGCTGTCCCCAACTTCCACGACCAATTGCACCACCTCTACAACCATCTACAACACTCGCAGACAGAGGATACAGTCCACAAATAGCGCCTCCACTAGCACCACCACCCCTAACGCCACTATTAGCACCTACACAAGAATAATAACTAGCACTGATGGTAGGCCTTTATAATACAATCACAGGTACCTCCACTAGCACCACCATTAGCAATGGTGGTGCTAGCATCTCTACTAGTACTACTAATAACACTGTCACACAAAGATATAATAAACTTTCAACAGCTAGCACCACTGGATGAATGGTTCAAAGAACCATTCATCTACAATCCTGTCAGACACTGCAACTTCTTGGAATCTTAATGCTTTGGAATTCTTCACTTGCCTAACCCTTGGGCACGACCTACTTCCACATTGAACAAATGTGACACCACCTACGTCTGCTGCACCTCTCCTGCCTACGGTATACAAGCTACTTCTTCGCACATATGCTGTATTCTTTTGAAGATTGATGGACTGTCCACATCGACTCAAGGTTGAGGGACTGATTACCTCATTCTCCTCCTGTTCTTCATGATTCTTCTACTTTGCATGGACTGATGAAGCCACTGTGTGGCGAAACGTTTCCTCGATAAAGATACCCAAGAGTTGCACATGTGTCTAATTTATCAACTAGCACCACCTCCACTAACACCATCGCAAACATCTTCCCTACTACCACCAGTGCTAGTGATGATCTACTTCCACAACATTACCACAAGTACCTGCACTAGCACCATCACGACCACTGAAAACAATATGATGTCCAGTGAGGACAAGTTAAATAAACTCAGTTATGGAAAACTTGAGGAATTAAAAGAAAGAACGGAGTAGAGGATAAATTCTAACCATATAACAGAGTATAAAACAAATGTGAAGGACTTGGGAGGGATAACGTGAGAGGATCTCACTTTCAATGATCACAACCGTGTCAGTATCACAACTGTGAGGAGAATGATAGGATGAATAATGAAAACCTTCAAAACAGTGAATGCCAAACCAGTGATGATCCTCTTAAACTCACTTTTTCTTTCTTGGTTGGAATATCACTAATAACCCGTTTCAGGTAGGTGAAATTGAAGACCTGGAGGATGTACAGAGGACCGTCATTGCACACATAAGTTCAGCAAAGGATCTCAGTTACTGGGAACGTTTGAAGGCCCTAGACCTGTACTCCTTGGTCCATCATAATTTACACCTGGAAAATTCTAGAGGGACCGATCCCAAATCTGCATACAATTTTTTTTTAATACAGTAAAAGACTTGGCAACATCACCACTGAAAAGCAAGGGAGCGTGAGTACAATGAGAGAAAACGCATTAAGTGCCTGTCTTCGAGAGGGAACTGGACAGATACCTGAAATTATTGTCTGACCAGTTGGGCTACGATTCGAACTTTGGTTTACACGCGATCAGCAGTAACAGCCTGGTTGATCGTGCCCTGATCAACCGTGTCATGGACCTGGCCGAGCTGGCGTTGTCCCTCAGAATTCCCTACAGGAAACACTAGGTAGCACCACTGACAGAGAAAGAGGCAGTGCACAACCAGCGCCATGACACAGTAAGGCACACAACACAGTGGAACACTCACCTAGGTTCTTTAGTTGACGTAGCTTGAAGGTGACAGCAGCGTGTAGTTGTGGCAGGAAACAACGAGCGTGATCATCACTCACTACAGCCAGGTTGAGTCGCCTCAGGCTGGGACACTCCTCCAGCAGTACTCCAGCAGACAGACAACCCTCGAACTCGAGCAGGTGACTCCTGTACCAGTATAAAACACTGATGAATACCTAACTTTAACTGACTCATCACCTACATTGTTACACCATATTACACTAAGTGTTAGTGACCAAGTGCACGAATAATAATAAATAATATCTTTATTTCTATAAGTACATGTACAAGGTATACAGTCCTAGCTGGCATCAATGACATACTACTATATAGAAAGTCGCAAATTAGGTCAGTTGTATCCCAGGATGCGACCCACACCAATCCACTAACACCCAGGTACCCATTTAACAGGTGAGAAACATAGACAACCGGTGTAAAGAAAAAAAATCCAATGTTTCCCTCACTAGGGATCGAACCCGGACGATCGCCGTGTGAAGCGAGAGATTTAGTCACCAGGCCACGGGGCACTGTACATTGTAACAATGTGACATTGCATATTACATCAAGTAGTGGTGGCCAAGTACAATGGATCACTATACATTACACCAAGTGGTGGTGACCAAATGTAGTGTTACCCTATATTACACAAAGTGCTGTTGACAAAATGCAGTATGTGGCAAGCAAAGAGTACCTTACATTTTATTCGGCACATGTACACCCTCCCATATAGGCTACCTCACAACCAGTGAACCAGGTGCTAAGGGTTTAACGGTACGGGTACCCATCGTTAAATCAGTACCTTGGTTCATTGTCCAGTCACAGACGAGCCCGATAAATGCTGATGTGATGTGGTTCACTTGCCTCTAGCTGGTCGAAACACGGTGCTCTCTCTGGCGTCTGTCTTTTCCTTTATCACCGTGTGGTACTTATATTTCAGCTCCTGTACATAGTGTACATAAGTGTACGTAGTGTACATAAGTGTACATAGCATATATAATTGTTGACGGAAAGCCCAGTGTTTATTTTCACTTCAAACCCATGACGACCAGGTCAACAGGCCATTATTTACATGTGTTCGTAATACAGTATTACAATGAATATAACACTAGGTGGTGGCGACCCAGTACAAAGTTACATTGAATATTATACTAGGTGATGGTTACCAAGTACAGTATAACAATGTGCATTTAAACTAAGTGATGGTGACCAATAGTATTTCTCTGGTGGGGTGATTAATAAGTCTTTGGAGGAATAATAATAATAATAATAATAATAATAATAATAATAATAATAATAATAATAATAATAATAATAATAATATCTTTATTTCTACAAGTACAAGGTATACAGGCCTAGCTGACATCAATGACATACTACTCTATGGAAAGCCGCTGAGGACAAAATTAACCTAATTTTTGGCAAAATTTACCTAATTTTGGCAAAATTGACCTAATGATTTTTAGCCGTTCTGGTACAGGCAATGTGACTCACGAGCCCTAGTCAGGCCTACTAGCCTCACGAAAAGGGGTTAGAGAGGCAGATGTTGCCTGTAGGCTGAATGGTGCAAAAAATGAGGAAGATAGAGCGAGTTGGGGAGTGAACCCTAGGTAGGCCTATGGAGGTCGATAGATGGCAGCAACTGCCTAGTGACATGGCGCGAAATATAATTCAGAACAGCGGTACAACATTGGTACACTGTATATTATACCAAATGGTGATGAACAAGTATAATGATACACTGTATATTATACCAAGTGGTGGTGAACAAGTATAATGATACACTGTATATTATACCAAGTGGTGGTGAACAAGTATAATGATACACTGTATATTATACCAAGTGGTGGTGAACAGGTATAATGATACACTGTATATTATACCAAGTGGTGATGAACAAGTATAATGATACACTGTATATTATACCAAGTGGTGATGAACAGGTATAATGATACACTGTATATTACACCAAGTGGTGATGAACAAGTATAATGATACACTGTATATTATACCAAGTGGTGGTGAACAGGTATAATGATACACTGTATATTATACCAAGTGGTGGTGAACAAGTATAATGACACTGTATATTATACCAAGTGGTGGTGAACAGGTATAATGATACACTGTATATTATACCAAGTGGTGGTGAACAAGTATAATGACACACTGTATATTACACCAAGTGGTGATGAACAAGTATAATGATACACTATATTATACCAAGTGGTGGTGAACAAGTGTTTACCTGGAGTTTACCTGGAGAGAGTTCCGGGGGTCAACGCCCCCGCGGCCCGGTCTGTGACCAGGCCTCCTGGTGGATCAGAGCCTGATCAACCAGGCTGTTGCTGCTGGCTGCACGCAAACCAACGTACGAGCCACAGCCCGGCTGGTCAGGAACCGACTTTAGGTGCTTGTCCAGTGCCAGCTTGAAGACTGCCAGGGGTCTGTTGGTAATCCCCCTTATGTATGCTGGAAGGCAGTTGAACAGTCTCGGGCCCCTGACACTTATTGTATGGTCTCTTAATTAACGTGCTAGTGACACCCCTGCTTTTCATTGGGGGATGTTGCATCGTCTGCCAAGTCTTTTGCTTTCGTAGTGAGTGATTTTCGTGTGCAAGTTCGGTACTAGTCCCTCTAGGATTTTCCAGGTGTATATAATCATGTATCTCTCCCGCCTGCGTTCCAGGGAATACAGTTTTAGGAACCTCAAGCGCTCCCAGTAATTGAGGTGTTTTATCTCCGTTATGCGCGCCGTGAAGGTTCTCTGTACATTTTCTAGGTCAGCAATTTCACCTGCCTTGAAAGGTGCTGTTAGTGTGCAGCAATATTCCAGCCTAGATAGAACAAGTGATCTGAAGAGTGTCATCATGGGCTTAGCCTCCCTAGTTTTGAAGGTTCTCATTATCCATCCTGTCATTTTTCTAGCAGATGCGATTGATACAATGTTATGGTCCTTGAAGGTGAGATCCTCCGACATGATCACTCCCAGGTCTTTGACGTTGGTGTTTCGCTCTATTTTGTGGCCAGAATTTGTTTTGTACTCTGATGAAGATTTAATTTCCTCGTGTTTACCATATCTGAGTAATTGAAATTTCTCATCGTTGAACTTCATATTGTTTTCTGCAGCCCACTGAAAGATTCGGTTGATGTCCGCCTGGAGCCTTGCAGTGTCTGCAATGGAAGACACTGTCATGCAGATTCGGGTGTCATCTGCAAAGGGAGACACGGTGCTGTGGCTGACATCCTTGTCTATGTCGGATATGAGGATGAGGAACAAGATGGGAGCGAGTACTGTGCCTTGTGAAACAGAGCTTTTCACCGTAGCTGCCTCGGACTTTACTCTGTTGACGACTACTCTCTGTGTTCTGTTAGTGAGGAAATTATAGATCCATCGACCGACTTATCCTGTTATTCCTTCAGCACGCATTTTGTGCGCTATTACGCCATGGTCACACTTGTCGAAGGCTTTTGCAAAGTCTGTATATATTACATCTGCATTCTTTTTATCTTCTAGTGCATTTAGGACCTTGTCGTAGTGATCCAATAGTTGAGACAGACAGGAGCGACCTGTTCTAAACCCATGTTGCCCTGGGTTGTGTAACTGATGGGTTTCTAGATGGGTGGTGATCTTGCTTCTTAGGACCCTTTCAAAGATTTTTATGATATGGGATGTTAGTGCTATTGGTCTGTAGTTCCTTGCTGTTGCTTTACTGCCCCCTTTGTGGAGTGGGGCTATGTCTGTTGTTTTTAGTAACTGTGGGACGACCCCCGTGTCCATGCTCCCTCTCCATAGGATGGAATAGGCTCGTGATAGGGGCTTCTTGCAGTTCTTGATGAACACGGAGTTCCGTGAGTCTGGCCCTGGGGCAGAGTGCATGGGCATGTCATTTATCGCCTGTTCGAAGTCATTTGGCATCAGGATAACATCGGATACACTGCATATTATACCAAGTGGTGATGAACAAGTGTAATGATACACTGTATATTATACCAAGTGGTGATGAACAAGTATAATGATACACTGTATATTATACCAAGTGGTGATGAACAAGTATAATGATACACTGTATATTATACCAAGTGGTGGTGAACAGGTATAATGATACACTGTATATTATACCAAGTGGTGGTGAACAAGTGTAATGATACACTGTATATTATACCAAGTGGTGATGAACAAGTATAATGATACACTGTATATTATACCAAGTGGTGATGAACAAGTATAATGATACACTGTATATTACACCAAGTGGTGATGAACAAGTATAATGATACACTGTATATTATACGAAGTGGTGATGAACAAGTATAATGATACACTGTATATTACACCAAGTGGTGATGAACAAGTATAATGATACACTGTATATTATACCAAGTGGTGATGAACAAGTATGATGATACACTGTATATTACACCAAGTGGTGGTGAACAGGTATAATGATACACTGTATATTATACCAAGTGGTGGTGAACAGGTATAATGATGCACTGTATATTACACCAAGTGGTGGTGAACAGGTATAATGATACACTGTATATTATACCAAGTGGTGGCGAACAGGTATAATGATACACTATGTATTATACCAAGTGGTGGTGAACAAGTGTAATGATACACTGTATATTACACCAAGTGGTGATGAACAAGTATAATGATACACTGTACATTATACCAAGTGGTGATGAACAAGTATAATGATACACTGTATATTACACCAAGTGGTGGTGAACATGTATAATGATACACTGTATATTACACCAAGTGGTGGTGAACAGGTATAATGATACACTGTATATTACACCAAGTGGTGGTGAACAGGTATAATGATACACTGTATATTACACCAAGTGGTGGTGAACAGGTATAATGATACACTGTATATTATACCAAGTGGTGATGAACAAGTATAATGACACACTGTATATTATACCAAGTGGTGGTGAACAGGTATAATGACACACTGTATATTATACCAAGTGGTGGTGAACAAGTATAATGATACACTGTATATTATATCAAGTGGTGGTGAACAAGTATAATGATACACTGTATATTATACCAAGTGGTGGTGAACAAGTATAATGATACACTGTATATTATACCAAGTGGTGGTGAACAAGTATAATGATACACTGTATAT